ACGCCGGGGGGAAGGGGGGGGGGGGGAGGGTGGGGGGCAAGTTACGAGATACCTACCGGTAGGGGAGGTGATGGATGGGCTGGCGGACCGGTACGGACGTTGATGAAGCAATTCTGTGAACTTGGACGGTGGGAGGTAAGATTGAGAGAGACCACGCCGTGCGACGGACTGGATTGATCCTTGGGGCGGGGGCAGAACATGGTAGCTGCTTGTGTAGAAGTAATCATGTGGCAAATCGGAAACGTGGAGAGGGAACCAACCCTCTTCTGTTTCGTTTCGTCTGTTCTGTTTTGCATTGACGTGCGCTGTCGTCTTTGATTTGACCTTGTTTGTTTTTGTTTTGATCCGGTTGTTTGTTTACTTGCTTTGTTTTGTTTGTTCATTTAACTTTGTTTGTTTGTTTGTTTACTTACTTTGTTTTTGTTTTTGTTTTTGTTTTTGTTTACCTCCCCCCCCCCACACGTATAGGTCAGTTCGCGGCACTCTAATCTCTCCAGGGGACCCTAGCTCCAATAGTGGGAGGGATGGTTGGATGTGTGCATTGTAATCTGTACGTACCCCGTATAGAAGTTTAACCCGCATACGGCAAGCAATACTACTCCATGATCCACCGCCTTGTAATGCATACGGACGGACGGGGAACGCATCGGAATGAGATCAGGAGCATAGAAATGCTGGAATTGAAGAAAAGGTACAAAAAATGAAAAAAAANAAAAAATTAAAAAAATTAAAAAATTTGTAGGGAATCATCGCCGTGAGCGAAAGAGGGCGCTCGTGGGTCATCTTATCTAAACATCCATTTCCATTACCTTGGGGAGCTCTGCCATGGCATCTCTCGCTAATTTGCACTTTCGTGCGCTTCCTTGTCAGGAGCGAAAAGAGAAAGTGAAAAATACCGCATCTCCAGTTTTTTTTTTTCCCCGTTTGCTTTAGAGATTCGTTAGTCTACTTACGTATATCGACTTACGTATATCTGGCCTCTATACGTCGGACGAGAGGGAAACGGCTCGGGTGGACTATCTCGGTATCGCTCTCTCTCGAGGGATGTACGGTATCAGAGGTGTCACAGGGTCAGTCGTGTAACTTATAATGGCAGGCATCAAGTGTACTATACAAGAGATGAGTAACAGTGTAAGTGATAAATGGATGAAGAGGGTCAGCAAAACCGAAAGGAAGAAATAGCGTCTGTATCGTAGGTGTATACCGGTGTGTGTATAGAGAGCGATGATAAGAAAGAAGTGATGAAGAGATAGTAGTGATGACAGAAAGAGAGAAAGAGAGACATATGAAAGAATCAGACCTCTTGCTGTACATACACACACATATATATACGTAGTATTATACAGATACAGCGACACAGACAGACCGATTGATTGTTTACTTACATGGATACAAATCCTTCTCGAAGCCGCCCATCCTCACCGTACCTGCCAAGCCCTACCAACATCTAATCACCCGCTCCTGCAACCGGCACACGAACCTGACTCAGACCGACCATCGAGACACCGACATCAACGGATCGATAGATAGGTAGGTACAACGTGACTTTTCACAGAATCGAATCGAAATCCACCGGTCGAAACTTGAACAAGCTCACATCAAGTTCAAACTCAAAATTCAAATGTGAAACACAAAAAGATGGGAGCGGTGGCAGTAGCGGGAGCGGTAGCAGTTTGCCCAAGCGGTAAGTAGCGGTAAGTAGCGGTAGCGGGGGGTGGCGAGCTTCTCTGTTTCGGAGAAGGCCGCCCGTTCGTTGCTAATTATACACGTCGAGAGAGAGATACCGGTACTGGTACTAGATGGATGGATTCCATCATGTGATGACCACCTGGAAAATCTCCCATACCGGTATCACCTCAATCAGATCATCTGACAAGTAGCGACTCTCCGTAGATTTTAATTAAGGTTATTCCTTTGATTCCTTCTTTTGTCCCGTACTTGCTCTTCTAGCTTCCGGGAATGCACCTCGGATTGATTGCGGGAGGAGGGAGGGGGATGGAGTGGAGCTGTGGGGGAGTTGTGGGGGAGATTGTGGAGGTGGTTCAAGAAAAGAATGGAACAAGAGAAGAGGAGGAGGCTTGTACATCTTGACGGTCTTGATTGTTCGATGTCGTGATTTTACAATCCTACAGTATGAATGGAATAGGATGGGGTATTCGTGAGGTTATGGTATTATAAATAGCGGTAGATTAGACTAGGCTCGACTAGGTAGACTATCTACGGTAGTAAGTGCTTACCTACGGAATAGACTGGGCTGACTTGGGGGCAGGCTAGACTGGGCTAGGTAGGGTAGGGTAGGGTAGGGTAGGGGAGGTAGGTAGGTAGATTTCACGTGGTGGTGATGATTAGATATTCACTCTTTGCCTCTCGAAAAGTAATAAGCGGATAGGTAGGTATCTCCGACTTCAGCAGTACTTACGTGTTAGTTAGCTCAAACAGGAGTGACTACTGAACGGCTAAGCTTTCTCATTTCAAGATCGCCAGCTTGGTGCTTGTGTTTGCTATATATGTATATTACAGCTCCAATCCTAACAGAACAGGTAATTACCACCCCGTATTATATGAATAACTCCTATTTTCATGATAGGAAGTTTAATTACCATACTACTTCATATCAACCCATATCGTAGCCATACACCGATACCTCTTTACCTTACTCGCGTACCAAGCATCCTGTTTATCCTATAATACCCTTGCCTAGTTATTAGCGGCTGGGGAAGATAGGATATACTAGTATTAGCCAATTGATTGATAGATTGATTGATTGATTAAACTGTTGATCTTTGTCTTGACCCTCATCTCCCATCGATTGGCCAATGGCAGAGCTCGGAGATGGCATTAGAGAGAGAGAGAGAGAGAGAGAGAGAGCTTGGTTTGCTCGCCTCGCTTTGCTCGCTTGCCCGCCTCAAGAGGATAAAAGCTACAGTATTTACCATCCTCTGCCGGGGCAGGGATCCACGACGGGGATCCCTGGGCCGGCCATGTCATCTTACAGTACCTACGTACTTCTAGTACTAGTAGTACCTACTACTACCTACTACTAGGGACGTACTAGTAAGTACGGAATTGCCTCATATGCAGGCTGCTATTGAAGCTTTCGTGCTTCAGTACTCCGGAGAAGGACCAGTAGAATGGATACAGAGCGAGCAGGAATAACATCAGAAGAGTTGTAGTATACCCGTACGGTCGTACATTCCCAATGCCCAGCCGGCCAGGAGAGCACGAGAGGGATTGTGTGGGTGTGGGATGTGCGACTGGACGACCTCGTACTAAGTATTCCTGACTACCTTACCTACCTACCTACCTACCGATTGCTGCTCCCCACCACCATCATAACCAACAATATAAATGCCGCAAGTGACGGCTCCAACGCCGAACCCCCGAATTCGCACTGGATGCATGCAGGTCAGCCGCCCCGGGCTAAAATACAGTGGGAATACTACGACTACGACTACGACTACGACTACGGCTACGACTACGGCTACTACGACTACAGTACGGATACACACACATCGCTCAGTACGAAGCTGTATGTATGTAATACAGCCAATTCCGTAGGTAGCCCCTCGGTCGGCCCGCATTCCATGCATACCACTCCACTCACACTGCAGCTGCTTGCTTGCACCTCGCATCGGTCGGACACCAGCCCTGCTGATCCCAGCAGCCGGCCAAGAGCACCAAGCAATTGGTCGTCACCCAGCAACGCAAGGAGGGTAAAATGCCTACGTATCAAATCAAATCAAGTGTCACCTAGCAACCAGCGGTCAAAAAGTTCATAAAAAAGGTTAAAGTTCACCGTAGATGATAAAGTGATAATGCACAGTAAAAGTGAGCCTAGTAGTATAGTACTTGAGGTAGAGAGTAATACTAATTGTAATTGTCCTTGAAAGTATGTACTGTAACTCGATCCCCCTTCGAGCCTAGCTGGTCCGTAAAAGTCGGCGTGAGAGAGAGAGAGAGAGAGAGAGAGAGAGAGAGAGAGGGAGAGCGCTATCGTTGACCGCTTCTCGCTTCTCGCCTCTCGCTCACCGTCGTCCGTACATACTTTGCATAACCATCCATTGCCACCTTTCCTCCTCATGAATCTCCAATCTTCAATTCTGAAAAAAATAAAAAAAATATTAGATTTTTCACGCACTGGGGGCATCCTGACACACACCTAGCGCACCGCACCCGCACCCGCACGGCCCATCCCATTGTACGGAGTACAACAGCAGCACCAGCAGCACCAGCAGCACCAGCAGCAGCACTCCCTGCATCCCTCCAAGCCGCCCCAAGCGATCCGGCACCAAAACAAGCCTGCTGCTGCATATCTGTTTCTGTGTCATCTCTGCGCGTCCTGGGCGTCTCGAGCCTACCCTCGGCCTTGCCACGACTTTGGCAGGAAGGAAGAAGAGTAGGTGGTAAGTGCGTACTCTAAAGATACTTCTAGTTGCATGCGGTTTAAATGGCTGTCCCATTGGCGCTCGTCGGGAGGAGTGGAATCGTGGGTTGTTTCTGCCGACGCTTGGGTTGCGTTGCGCGCGGGATGCGGTCTGGTGGGTATCTGGTCCGGTGGTAGAGCATCGCAATAGCAATAGCAATAGCAATAGCAATGGCAATGGCATCGAATCGCAGCTGCATCGTCGTAGATGAGTAAGAGGCTCCGTGTTCTCTCTCATCTTGTCTTGTCCCCCTCTATCTCTCTCCATCTGCAGGGCCAGCCAGGCCCGCCCGATCGTACAAAGTTACGAGTCGACCGACCTACTACGTACGTAGTATCTCGAACACCGCGCTTATCCTATCACCGACCTAGTCGTAGTCGTAGTTGTACCGGTAGGTATCGAACCCTGACCAGACCTGACTGACGGTGCACCTACCACCTAATCATACTGCAGATTAATCCCTCACCCATACCCTTTCTCCACTCTCAATCCATCCACGTCTACATCCCACATCCCTCGTCCTCGTCGAGCCCAGAGTTCCAGTATCGCCTAGCAGTCCAGTAATTGCCCTCGTCAATGGCCCCCCCCATCCTTCGTCTGCCCTATGAGCTTATCGGCACCCCCTGGCCCTGGCTGGTCCATCCATCAGGACCCGTCACGCAGATGCCCGTCGAGGGCAAAGAGTCCGAGCGGGAGGTGATGCCGTTAGGGAACAGGCCCATGCAGCTGCTGCTTGAACTGACTCCCGCAGGCAGAGCGCCATCTCCGGTCGGTCGTTCGGTGGGCGGTGGTCGGTGGTCTGTGGTCGCTGCACTGCTGCTGCTGGTGCTGCTGGTGCTGTTGGGGCTGCTGGGGCTGCTGGGGCTGCTGGGGCTGCTGGTCGCTGGCTCGCAGGCTTTGGTCGAGCTGTTCTCGCTACTCTACCCACACGACCGACTGACTCCTCGACTCTCACGGTAAAACCAAGTGACCGCGAGCCCCACGAGGCGCTAGTCCCAAAACGTCGCTAGCCGATGATCCTCCTAGCTAGACAACTCTCTTCGAGTCCTACATTAAATAAGAGCCCTTCATCCACCTTCTCCAGACTTCTTCGTACTACTCTCATTCCATCCTTTCATCCTCCCTTCCTTCTCCCCCCCCCCTCTTCTCCCCCCCCACCTCCCCTCGTATTAACCTGCTGTGGTCCGTTGGTGTAATAGAGCTCACCCCCCTCTCTCATCAAAGCCCAACCACCGCAAAACCTATCTTGCGATAATAGCACCGACTTTCATCATGGACGCCGAGAAGGACATGCAGCGCGACGGCCGTGCCAACGACAACGCCGACTTGGGCGAGTACGGCAACCTGATCAAGTACATCTCTAACTACCGTGACGGCCGCCGGGCTTCGGTCGCCGGCTCCATCTACGACGATGTGCCTGCGAAGCCGTGGTGGAAGTTCTGGGCCAAGCAGAAGACACTGGGCGGCGATGGCAGCTTCGATGCTCCGGAGGAGTGGATGACCACCGACTGGAAGCAAGGGCTCTCCACCGCCGAGGTCGAGGCGCGTCGCAAGAAGACCGGCTACAACGAGCTCACCACCGAGAAGGAGAACATGCTGAAGAAGTTCATCGGCTTCTTCACCGGGCCCATTCTCTACGGTACGTACTGCCATGTCAGCAAGGTCGAGAGATTCACCGCTAACACTACACAGTGATGGAAATCGCTGTCCTCTTGGCAGCTGGCCTGCGTGACTGGATTGATTTCGGTGTCATTATCGGTATCTTGATGCTTAATGCCGTTGTCGGTTGGTACCAAGAGAAGCAAGCTGCCGACGTCGTCGCCAGTTTGAAGGGAGATATCGCCATGCGCACGACCGTCGTCCGCAATGGTGTGGAAGAGGAGATCAAGGCCCGCGAATTGGTTCCCGGTGACATCGTGAGTCCACAATTGATTCTCGGGAACGCCTTGGCCCCCCTCACGATCTACTTTCTGACACAATTCACATGCAGATCATCATCGAGGATGGACAAGTTGTTCCTGGTGACGCCCGCATCATCTCTGCCTACGACAACCCCAACGGTTACCAGGAGTACCTCCGCGAACTCGAGGCCCAGGCCGGCGAGTCGGCGGTTGAGAAGAACGACGACGACGACGAGCTGGAGCACAAGCACGGCTCGGGATACGCCCTCCTCGCCATTGATCAATCTGCCATGACCGGAGAGTCCCTTGCTGTCGACAAGTACGTCGCCGATGTTATCTACTACACTACCGGCTGCAAGCGTGGAAAGGCGTACGCCATCATCACCCACTCGGCCAAGATGTCCTTCGTCGGTCGCACTGCATCGCTGGTCTCTGGCGCCAAGGATCAAGGTCACTTCAAGGCTATCATGAACTCCATCGGTACGTCGCTGTTGGTCTTGGTCGTCGGATGGATTCTCGCTGCCTGGATTGGAGGTTTCTTCCGTCACTTGCAAATTGCCACTCCTGAAGACTCCTCCGTCACGCTGCTCCATTACGCTCTGATCCTGTTGATTGTCGGTGTCCCTGTCGGTCTGCCTGTCGTCACCACCACCACGCTTGCGGTCGGTGCTGCTTATCTCGCTGAGGAGAAGGCTATCGTGCAGAAGCTCACCGCTATCGAGTCGCTCGCCGGTGTCGATGTTCTTTGCTCCGACAAGACCGGAACGCTCACCGCCAACCAATTGTCGATCCGTGAGCCGTTCGTCGCTGACGGTGTCGATGTCAACTGGATGATGGCCGTCGCAGCCCTCGCTTCTTCCCACAACGTCAAGTCTCTCGACCCCATCGACAAGGTTACCATTCTGACCCTCAAGCGTTACCCAAGAGCCAAGGAGATCCTCTCGCAAGGCTGGAGAACAGAGAAATTCACTCCCTTCGACCCCGTCTCCAAGCGTATCACAGCCATTGTCATCAAGGATGGTGTCCGTTACACTTGCGCCAAGGGTGCCCCCAAGGCCATTCTGAACCTCTCGGAATGCTCACCTGAAGACGCCAACATGTACAAGGAGAAGACTACCGAGTTCGCCCGCCGTGGTTTCCGCTCGCTCGGTGTTGCTGTACAGGAGGGTGACGGACCATGGCAACTGTTGGGCATGCTTCCCATGTTCGACCCTCCCCGTGAAGATACCGCCTCCACCATCGCTGAAGCCCAAGTCCTCGGTCTCTCCGTCAAGATGTTGACTGGTGACGCCATCGCCATCGCTAAGGAGACCTGCAAGATGCTCGCTCTCGGAACCAAGGTCTACAATTCGGAGCGTCTCATCCACGGCGGTCTCACGGGTACCACCCAGCACGACCTTGTCGAGAAGGCCGATGGATTCGCTGAAGTCTTCCCTGAACACAAGTACCAGGTCGTCGAGATGTTGCAACAACGTGGACATTTGACCGCCATGACTGGGGACGGAGTCAACGACGCCCCATCCCTCAAGAAGTCCGACTGTGGTATCGCCGTCGAAGGTGCGACTGAAGCCGCCCAAGCTGCCTCCGACATCGTCTTCCTCGCCCCTGGTCTCTCCACTATCGTCTCTGCCATCAAGATCGCCCGTCAAATCTTCCAGCGCATGAAGGCCTACATCCAGTACCGTATCGCGCTCTGCCTGCACTTAGAAATCTACCTCGTCACTTCTATGATCATTATTAACGAGACCATTCGAGTCGAACTCATTGTCTTCCTCGCTCTCTTTGCTGATCTGGCCACCATTGCCGTCGCTTATGATAACGCCCACTTTGAGCAACGTCCCGTCGAGTGGCAACTCCCCAAGATTTGGATCATCTCGGTCGTACTCGGCGTTCTGCTGGCTCTCGCCACCTGGGTGATCCGTGGAGCACTGTTCGTCCCCAACGGTGGTATCATCAACAACTTCGGTTCCATCCAAGGTATACTCTTCCTCGAAGTCTCCCTCACCGAGAACTGGCTCATCTTCGTCACCCGTGGAGGCGAGACTTGGCCTTCGTGGCAACTCGTCGGCGCAATCTTCGGTGTCGATGTGCTATCTACCCTCTTTGCTGTCTTTGGATGGTTGACTGGCGGCGCGGGCGAGCCTTCCAACCCTGTTACCAAGAACAAGCTCTTGTCCACGGATGGTCGCACCTCAATCGTCACGGTTGTGATCATTTGGGGATACTCCATCTTCGTCTCCATTGTCATTGCGATTGTGTACCACCTGCTGAACCGCATGGCCTGGTTGGACAACCTCGGCCGTGCGAAGCGCAGCCGCGCCGACACCCAGATGGAGAACATCCTGTCTCACCTGAGCAAGGTCGCCGTCGCCCACGAGAAGGACGAGTTAACTGGTGGCAGCAGATGGCATCTCACTCCCAAGGCCACCGAAGCCGAGGACGACGATTAGATGAGATGATATTTTTTTTCCTTTTGTCATCGTTTGGGGTAGAAAATAGAGGTTATTTCTTGTTCATCTATCTTACACGGCTTCATATTTCCAGGACGGCCTTTGGGTTTTGGAAGTCACATATACGTGGGATGTGTTTTTAAATCCGAAATGTATCTATTGATTCTGATATGTTGGACTGATTCTAGGGGGGGTTATTTTTAGAGGAAATCATTGTTTCCCTCTGTTTGGAGGAGTGGAGGGATAGGATGGGGATTGGGCTTCCACTTTGTATCTGTCACTTTTTAGTGTGTAATAAATCTATGAAGATTGAAAAGAACCGAGATTCCCCTGCGCTGGCTGCAAAAAGTAGGGTCAATGTCTTGTGATCCCCATCACCCTTTTCTCTTCCTCCTCCTCCTCCTCCCCCTCATCCTCCTCCTTCATCTATCCTCTATCCTTTTTGATCTAGAAAGTAAAGGGGTTTATGATTGTGTGAAGGGGCGCTGGCGGACGCGTGTCGCCACCCAATACTTAATCAGGTATCGAGCCTCGAGCCTCGCTATAAGCAAAGCACCACTCACCCACCTCAAGTCAGTCTGTCAGTCAGTCATTCAGTCATCATCAATAATGACCACAACCACAACCACAATAACAATAACAATAACAATGCAACCAATAGTAATCTAAAATTTTGATACATCCGAGAGTGATAATACAATACGAAGTTCACGTAACGTACGTATACCGTACCGCACCGCACCGTACCGTACCGTACCGTACCGTACGTCTCGGTCTTCTTCGGATCGGGGTGTGGTCCTGGGATGGACCCAGTGGCCGGGGAAATATGCGGCGAATAAAAAGCTTTTTTGTTCTTTTCTACGGAGTCGAATCCTGTCCATGAACGAGGTGCGACGAGCGGCGAATACCTATCGTCGTCGCCCGGCGGCGGCTATCACGGAACAGGCAATATCAGACCTCACAAGCGGAGTGAGCGGCTTGGTTTTATCTTGTCTTGCAGGCTTCTTTCGTATACCTAGTTAAAGTTCAGGCTCGATCGATCCCCGAGCCGAGCGGCGACTCATGAGCCATGATCGGTACATGGATCTACCCTTCGATCTCGCTCTCCCCATCTTTTGCCGAGTTCCAGAAGAGAAGTACGAGGTAAAGATAGAGTCAGTCTGATCGCCAAGTCTCCTCGCCTGGCTCCGGTTCTTTCTTTGCGACGGGACGGGTCTGACACCGGTCACGGAGTTGGTCAGACAGTGAGCCGAAAGATCAGACGCCGTCCGTACCAATCGCAAGCCCAAGCCACAAGCCGCCACCCGTCTGTTTTCCTAAGCGAGGAGGATGTGATATCTGGAACGAAGAGGTGCGAGATACGAGGAGCGAGGAGAGTAGAAAGGGTCAGTCAGATAAGGCTTTGAAATGGATGATGACCTTATATATAGGTATATCTACATATATATATATTCATTTGCAATCCCATGAGTTCGTCGTAGTAGTATGAGTAGTAGAATACATTCACCACCTGCATTTGGAAGGAAAGCACACGTTATCCATTATGAATCCCCCTTCTATGTTTGTTATAAGTTCCCAGTCCGTGTTCCATAACATCTCGCACGACATCACGCCGAACGTCAGCCGCGGAGCTCTTTCCCTGCAAGATGCCGCTCATATCTCCGAGAGCATCATCGCCGTCCCTCGTGGGTTTTCCATGAGGGCATCGTGGACGACGGCGTCGGTGGCATTCGCTGGCCTCGTATGCTATCTATATCTGACATCGTTCCTCCCCCTCAAGAAGTCTTCGAATTTCCCTTTCGTCAACGGCGGAGAGGGACGACGGCGCTGGACAGACGTCCTCCGCACGAAGCGAGAATTCCGCAGCCATGCAAAGGCGTTGATTGCCCAGGGTTTCCAGAAGGTAATGAATACAACAGACCACATGTTTCTCTCCGAGAGAAAATCCTTGCTCGGGTCCAGATGGCTGATTCCCCGTTTAGTTCTCTGGCCCTTTCAACATCGTGACGGACAGCGGCCCCGTGGTCATGCTCCCGCCTGAGTATATCGACGCTGTGAATCGTGAACCCAACTTGGATTTCCAGAAATATAACACGAAGGTATATGATTCCGTGTCTTGGCTGCCCACGGCGTGAGCTGACAGCCCGTCTCTGCAGCATACTCTTTCGAAATATGAAACCTTCAGCAACTTCCGCACGCCGCCTCCGGGTCTCTACGAAGAAGCCGTCATGAAGGGCCTGACGCGTAATCTACGTAAGGAGAGATACCAAGCCAAAGCCCCTCCTCCCTCCGTTTGCTAACATGTATTTTCTGTAGCGAAATTCACCACTGCGCTCTCGGACGAGATGGCGGGCTGCTTGGATGACACATGGGCCGATTCCGAGGGTAACTAACCACCTCATCACTGAAAGACGATTTGCGAAAATGAAGCTCACCAGCAGAAAAAAACTATTAGAATGGCAAGTGCGAAACCTCCGAGACGACGTTCTCTCTTGGGTCGCCCGTCTCTCATCCCGTATCTTCACCGGAGAGGAACTCAGCAAGAACCAAGACTGGCTCCGAATCACGAAGGATTTCACCATCAACAGTTTCACCGCCATGGCCATCTGCCGGATGGTTCCTCTCCCCTTGCGGTACCTGGCGGAGAGAACATTGCCCATCTGCCGGAGGGTCCGCGAAGATCGGAGAGCCGGTGCCCGGATCCTGGCACCGATTATTGCAGCACGCGAGGGGGAAATCGCAGCCGCGCGTCGCGAAGGGAGGGAGCCCAACTTACCCAACGACTCGATCGAGTGGTTCCGCACTGTCGCCAAGGGCCGAGTCTACGACGATACCGATGTCCAGCTGGGACTGTCCGTTGCCGCGATCCACACGACGAGCGACCTCCTCGGCCAGGCAGTCCTCAATCTCGGAGCTCACCCTGAGATGGTCGAGCCCTTGCGAGCGGAAGCCGTGGCGGTCCTGCAGAAGCACGGCTGGAAGAAAGTCGCGCTCGTCGAACTCCGCATCTTGGACAGCTTCCTGAAAGAGACGCAGCGACTGAAGCCGATAGGCATGTGTAAGCACGCAACCCTCGAGCCCGCCCCTCCTCGCCGCGCGACGTGTAGCAAGCATACATGAGACAGATATCTACAGATGTACTGACAGAACAACCCACCCACAGCCTCGATGCACCGCCAAGCGACCGCCGACGTCGAGCTCCCCCACGGCGTCAAGCTGCACAAGGGCGAGCGCATGGCCATCTCCTCGCACCGCATGTGGTCCGCCTCCGACTACGACGACCCCGAGGCCTTCGACGGCTTCCGCTTCGTCAAGCGCCGCCAGGTGCCCGGGTACGAGCAGCGGTGCCACCTCATCTCGACGAGTCACGACCACACGGCCTTCGGCCACGGCAGGCATGCCTGTCCCGGCCGCTTCTTCGCCGCCAACGAGATCAAGATTGCGATGGTGCACCTGCTGCTGAAGTACGACCTGCGGCTGGACGACGTGGAGCGCGGCGCGTCGTGGTGGGAGCGGGGGACGTCCATGAAGATGAACCCGGCGGCGAAGATCTGCCTGCGGAGGAGGAGGGCGGAGATTGATCTGGATGCCTTGGTGGTAGCCGAGGGCTAGCCGAAGGGAATAGCCGAAGGGATAGCCGAAAGGGATAGCCGAAAGGGATAGCTACCGGTAGTCGGGCGAACTGCACTCCGCACTACCGGTACCTCAGGCGGGATCTTCCCAGTCGCGACTGCACCATGTTCGTTTCGAGACTCGAGATTCGAGATTCGGAGCCGTGGAGACCCTTTTGCCGTCCCAGGGTCAGGGAGGTCGATCCAGATCAGACACTCACTCTACGGGCGATTTATTATTGGACGCCTCCATTTAATTGCGCGGCAGGGTCCGGGAGGAGGGAAGGGCGGCTCTTACCTGAGTACGAGATACGACCGACGGGATAATACGGACGCGTCACAATTGGTACATGTATTTATATATCTCTCCCCCCACCGCATCGCGCATCAATACGAAACCAGCCAACCCATCATCTATCTATCTGCACGCGTTGCTGCCACGATGCATCTCAGCGTTATTATAAAAAAAAAACATTAAAAATTTTTTTAAACCTATGATATGATATGCCATTTTGCTCGGATCTCAGTCTCTCTCTCGTCTTCGACGGTACGGGATTCGGGCTTCTCGCTCTCTGAGACTAGTCTGGGATTTTTTCAAAGATGTTTGTTGATCGATCTTCAGATTATTTGGAATTGGAAAACTAGAACGGGAAAAGAGATGGAAAAGAAAATAATATATATATATATATATGCCGGTGGTTATCGTGATGTTGAAAAATATATATATATATATATATTTAAGAAACTGAAAAAATTTTGGGGGTCTAATGAAGACCGTCGACAGCTGCTACCATCGAGATCACGCGTAGAGAAAGCAGCGCTCGCTCAAAGAAGAAGAAGAAGCAGACGAAGATGCCAGATGCTACTCAGCGTTCACCCAGCACCCAGCACCCAGCACCCAGGCCACACCCATACGGGATTCTTGAGTGAATTTACGAGATGATTCTCTATTGTCGTGATCTAACTAGCCTTCATCGACCCCAGACCGGGGTGGTGGAGCAACTCCTCTCCTCAATGAATGGATGGATGAATGGATGAATGATAGATAGATAGATAGATACGTCACAATCCAGACCGACCGACCGACCGGTACCATCCATGTCCGTTTTCCTCTTTGACGGGTCACAAGGAAAATATGCTATGCTATGCTATGCTATGCTTCTACCAGTACAACTCGGACGGCGTACAACGTTGGAAGAATCAACGATCAGCATCGATCTGCCGCGTCCGAACAGTCCTCGCTCGGAGATCCGAGCGACGATCGATCGAACGAACGAACGAACGAACGAACGGCGGAACCGTCCTTCTTGTTTTTTTTTTGTTTTTTTTGGCTGCTGTGCTGCTGCTGCGCGGAATTCCCCCTCCTCCTTGCTCCCCCACGGAGACCGGTTGAGGAGGGACGTACCTCGCGTTCGTCTGGCGTGTAGCGCGAACGCGCTGCCTGCCTGCTCGTTTACCGGTCGAACCCATCTTCTCATAGGTAGGTAGGTATACGGTACCGGTAGTAGCAGGGCCAGCCAGCCAGCCAGAAAGAAAGAAAGCCAGAAGAGAGTTACCAAAGTCAGAAGAGAGTTAAGAAGGAAGTTAGTAGTAACTAAGAAGGAATAGCTTGATCGCGCTAGTTGCTTGTTCGGTCACCCTTGTTGCTTACTTACTTGCTGTGCCATGATGAGTAGTAGAAGTACTAAGCTGCCAGAACCCTATTCGGGACGTGAGCAAGATCAAAGATCGGGCCGACGGGGGATGGGCGAACGTTGGAAGTACTATCGCTCAGGATCTGAACCGACTTCGCCGCTGGGCTGGCTGGCTGTCGGGGTCTGAGGGGCAGTGGATGAGATCCCGGTCGGGGTCGGAGCGGCGTGATGGCTTCTGGGGGGGGCGAGAGCATTCGCGGCGTGCTCTGCTCGGTGACTTGGCGGGCTGGGGACGTTGAGTGGGTTGTGTCGGATTGCAATACGGAGCTCGCTGCTCTTCTGCCATATACTACTACGTAGTACCGGTATACATACGGTATACGTAGTCGTAGTATATATATGTTTTTGCGGGGGGTGTTTGCAATAGGGTTTGAGAGAATCGAAAGTGGAAAGTGGAGAAAATGGGGAAGAAAGCCTGCGTAGCAGTGGGGAAAATCATAATGCGGATTGATGGCTGGCTGCTGATTAATTACTAAGCACATTTTGATCCTTTCCAGAGAACGAAGAGCGGCAGAATCGCTGTCCCATCTTTTTCTGTTAACGATTGATCGATGCGACGTAGGTCAATGGTTCGCTGTTCGAAAGGCCCAGATCAATCGAATCCGAATATCCAGCTGCATATCCGTTGGAATGTAGAGTGTCAAGGACTCCAACTGCCAGGCTGAAACCCATTGTAACAAATCAACGGGAGACGTCTTGGTATCGTTACCAAAAGCCAGGCATAAGATGATCTATATCGGCTGGGTTGATGTTTCCGACAATGCCGCGGCCACCAGTGGCTGCATCAAAAACTCATCGAGAGCCAGCTCCTCTGCAGCGAGCCTCTCTCCTCTGGTATCCAGCATAACATCCTGCGCAAGAACCGTAAGAAGAGAGCCCGATCCTCCCCATCGAGGCACCGCTCCCGGATTTCGAAAGATTGCTCCGGAATCAGGATAGAGCCTTTCCAATTTCCTACAATCACATTCAGCAGTTTTGTTACCCGTATAGTGAGTGATATGAGCAGAACGAGACTGTCTTTTTCGAGTCAGGGGGAAACATGGATATTAGTGCGATACCTTCACTGTCCCAGTATTGGCGGCACTTTTCACTCCGCGTCAAGAATTCTGGAGGCGGAGGCCCCAAGAGCGAAACCATCTCTGCGAGGTGCTGTTCATCATCTAGCATTCGATTTTTGCTTGCGAAGAATACATGGCCGTCTTCGAGAAAGTCCCACGTCTAAGTAGATGAGAGAAGAGTTAGCTCGGTTTTGGCAATTCCAGAGCCCAGCCCAAATCACCTCCGGGGCGCGGTAAAGTCCAGGCATAGTGTCACCTCTGTGCTTTTGGGCACCAACTCTAGCCGCACCAAGATCGCAGAGGATTGATGGGCCTGTACCGTACTTAAAGGCATAGGTCGAAGATTGGTAGATAGTTCGATCGCTAAGAACCTTCCGAGCCATGGGTTACTCCGTGGCGTTCAAATGTGCTTCTTTCACCCCACTTTCGATCAGGTTTCGGGCAAGTACCTTATCAAGATCTGCCCGTGGCATCGGAAGGCAGCTATCTGTGAGTTATCTATCGCCGTCGAGGGTCAGCATAAGTGGCATGGATCCAGCGTTGTACATAAGGCCCTGGGTTATCCCTCGGCAACCTCTTGACTTCAGCCTCACTTCTTGAACTTTGCCAGTATGGTTGCAATCGAAGATAGATCAGCGCCAGGCACGCTTCAGCTGATCGATACGACGGGAGAACTCCATGTCAAGCATTCAGAAGCAGCCCAGGATATCGTTCTAATTCCCGTGCCATCAGGTACTTCTTCTCACCATCACACGTGAGCAATATTAATGTCCCGTCCAGATGATCCCGAAGACCCATTGAACTGGTCAAGGCGACGAAAGCTGCTGCACACATCATGTATGGTTATATACACAGTCATGATGGTATTCCCATCGTCCGCTGTCTACTCGGTCACGACACCGATCTCAAAGGCGACAGAATTGAAAGTCAGTGATTTGGTATCTGGCACCGGCGCTATGTTTCTGCTTTACGGCTGGGGGTGTATTGTGTGGCAAGCTTTGGCACTGCAATATGGGAAACGGCCAGCCTACCTCATTTCCATGGCAGTTTCTACCGTTCTTATGGGCGTCACACCTCTTTGCGTCACCAACGGTCCTTATCTGGCGGTCAAAATCCTCCAGGTTCGTACTCCCCATACTCCAAGCAGTCCGTAGCTTATAGCCCTAGGGATTCTTCGGCGCTCCTGTCGAGTCCCTGTGCGAGATCAGTATGACCGATATCTGGTTTTCTCACGAGCGACCCCTTTTTCTCGCAGTTTACGGCCTAAGTCTCGCCTTCTCCGGCAAATTCGCCCCCGTGTTCGCGGCGTTCATCAATACTGGACAGGGCTGGGAGTGGACGCTGTGGTGGTGTGCGATCGGCATGGGTGTGGCATTTGTGTACTGCTTCTTCCTGATGGAGGAGACCAACTACGATCGGAAGCTCCAGAGTCTAGACACCAGCGCAGTATCAAGCACGGCTGTCATCGGCGAGGTGGTTGATTCCACGACCCCTTCAGAGAAATCCTCGTCAGAAAAGGCCCCCGCGTTCAAGGCCGACCATGCAGCTGTGGAAGCGGGCCAGGCTGCTTACCCACGGAAGACCTACTGGCAAAAGCTGAGTGTGATCGACAAGAAGCGCCCGAATCGCGTTCTGGAAATCATGTGGGCCCCATTCAAGTTCTTCACATTCCCAGTCATCACTTGGGCAGGATTTATGTACGGGACGAACGCGCTGGTCTGGCCGGGGATCTTGAACGCCACTGCCAGCCCGACCTACACGAAGGTCTACGGGTTCAACAGTAACGAGGTCGGCTTCGCTTATTTCGGAGCGGTGGTCGGCATGGTGCTTGGGTAAGTCCGTCCATGATCCCACTTTGCAGCACATGCTCATCATTCCTCAGATCGTTATGGGTCACATTTGCAGGACCCCAGCTCGTCGTGCGCCTCGCCCGCCGCAACAGAGGTGTCGCCGAGCCCGAACACATCCTCTGGCTCTTCCTCGCTTCGCTCCTCGCGGTACCGTTCGCCATGCTGCTCTGGGGTCTGGGAGGCGCCGCCGACATCCACTGGTTCGGCATGGTCCTCGCCCAGTGTGTTCTCGCCATCTCCTCGACCTTGTGTCTCTCGACCGCCATCCAGTATGCGACCTCCGCCTACCGAGACCTCAGCGGCGAGCATATCACTACCATCGTCCTCATCCGGAACACGCTGAGTTTCGCGATCAACTATGGAATCACGCCGTGGATCAACGCGCAGGGGCAGAGGGATACGTTCATCACGGTTGCCGTCCTGGCGGGTGTCTGCAACGCTAGCATGCTCCCTATGATCTGGCGGGGGAAGAAGTTGAGGATGCGATCTGCAGACACTTACTGGCGATGGGTCGAGGCCGCGAGGGCGAAGGGCCTAAGCCACTGAGAAGGCACTTAGTTCACTAGAGGAGAGCTGACGATGGGAGAATAGAGCGTAGACGTCAGTCCGCAGATAACCGTATCAAGATTTCGCAGCTACCGTCCATCCCTCTCCTCCCATCTCCCGTCTCCTTCTCATTCCAGATCCAGCAGGTCAGTGAACCGGCAAAGATACATCAGTCAGCACAGGTACCTAGCTTTCCCACAGTGGGAATACAGACCCATCCAAACCCACCCACTACACATATATACACATACACACACACATATCTGAAATCCACCTCCAGCTCCTCCTCGCCCCTTCTCTTCTCCCTCCCCTCCCCCCTTTCCATCCTCGCAAGCATGCCATCCCACTCACCCACTCACTCACTCCCTCACTATACCTGGAAACGGACCCAGCCATACTCCTCCATACACAGTACTCCGCATCAGCCTCATCCCTCCCCTCTGCCAGCCCGCCACTCCATGTACCGCTGCCTCCTTTCACGTTTCTGCTACGGTACTTATCGGATCTGGAAACGGGTGGGGTGCTTGTGTGCTTGTGTGCATACATACATACATACATACATACATACATACATACATACATACATACATACATACATACATACATGCATGCATACACACATACATACACTGTACAGGCACAACGAATCCCATCTCGGAGCCCGTCCGTCCTACACGCCTACACGCCTACCTACCTACCTACCTACCTACTGTAGTACTGCACTGTCAAGATTGGAGAAAAAGATCCTCTTTTCTTTATATATTATATATATTATATATTATATATATATTACTTTTTTTTTTTTTTTCTTTTTTCTTTTTTTCTTTTTTTCTTTTTTTCTTTTTTCTTTTCTTTTTTTTTTCGGAAAGGCTCGAGAGAGGGAGAGAGGATTTCGCAGCAGCAGCTGTAAGTAAGTAAGTAAGTAAGCAACTAAGTAGTAGGTAGTTCTCGGCCATGCCTGCCTGCTTGCTCGCTTGCTCGCTTACTCGATCGGCGCGTCTCGTCTCATCTCGCCTCGTCTCATCTCGTCGCCAAAGTTCATCCAAGTAAGTAAGTACCGGTACCGGTACCGATCGGTCGGTACCTAGGCGAACGACAGATGTGATTGTCGGTTGGCCGACCCCCACCCTTCCCCCCTCCCTAAACAAAAAAAGAGAAAGAGAAAGAGAGAGAGAGAGAGAGACGAAGAAAGGATCGATGTCGAGCAGTCGCAGAAATAAATGTAGAAATGATATACGGGTATAGATAGATAGATAGATAGATAGATAGATAGATAGATAGATAGATAGATAGATAGATAGATAAACAAATAGATGGATACTTAGATACATAGATAAATATACTTACCGATATAATTATAAATATAAAGATATCGTTGTTGTTATTGTTGTTGTATTTATTTATTTACGTCGGGCGGGTAGCAAGCGAAGCTTGCCGCCCTAGGACCTCTCATAAGATCCGGCGACGTGCTAAGCTAAAGAGTTATATACAAGAAGGCCTCAGAAAGCAATTCAAGGTGTTGCAGCTAGAGCTACTATCGTTTGCGCTTTTTTCTTACGGATAAGATGAATCATAATGAAAGGGAATATCTCGTTAAAGGAAAACTATTAAAGAGAGTTAAGCAGGTATAAAGTACTACGTCCCAGGCGTAAGTATTACTCCTCGAGGGTAGGATAACCAGGGGATTTAAAGTGGAAACTAAACTTTTGAGGCACCCTCGAGGGGTAATACTTAGGCCTGTACCGTGGTATTATAGCTAGCTTAAAGCGTAGCTATGCGAATCGCATAAAGACCAGTGTCAAGGCCGGACCGGGGTCAGCCGAAAAGCACTTACAAGTGCAAAGAAAACCCAAAACGAAATGCCTAAACTTGAAAAAAAAAAAACCAATATTATATAGCAGTATCAAAAGAAGTCCCTTCGAAAGCTCACCACCTTGCTCGAAAGTCTTTATTCCGTCGTGCGTTTATTTAACAAGCCTTTATAGCCTTTATAAGGCGAAGCGTACCCTGTTCTCCTTACCGAAGCAATATCAGTTAGCTAAAGTAGCACTCTTATCGGGTGCAGTACTCAAAGTAGAATTGCGTAGTGGTCTAGAAGGCTTAAAAGTAGGCCGGATTGCTAAGAAAGGCTTTTAAAAAGTCGTAGGCTTTCGAGATCGTGCTTGATAAAGTCCGTAGTCGTATTCCCTTTAGCCAAGAGAAGAAGCGCCGTCGTGTAAATCGATAAAAAGCGAAGTGCAAAAGGGACTTTGCGCTTGCCGCAAGCATATCTTAGATTAGCGTCGTAATGCTAGAATTTGATATAATATTAAATAAGGTCTTCGTGTATAGTCCGTATCGCAAGCATCTTATGCAAAATATATCGTAAGAGCTTTAGCTTTAGGAAAGGCTTGACCAAGTACGAAAGACCCCATTTCCGATACGAGCGAGAGAGCTTCGTAAAGCTTGCACTCTACCAGGTCGCGCCTTGTCCCGAAGGTCGCGGAACAGTGTAATATAAAGATGTCGGACAACCGCTTTTCTATTTTCATCTGTATTTTCATTTTGATCTTTATTTTTATTTTTGTCTTTATATTTATATTTATTTTCATATTTATATTTATCATTATCATTATCTTTATCTTCATTCTTATCTTCATTCTTATCTTCCTTTTTATTTTCATTTTTATTTTCATATTTATCTTCATCTTCATTCTTATCTTCATCTGCATCTTTATTTCCATCTCCATCTTTATTTTTGTCTGTGGGAATGATGGACTTGAGGGATTGGAGGGATCGGGATTAAGCACTCGGGATCGGATGGTGGCCGGTGCAGTGGCCGGTGCAGCCTTGGCACCACTACTACCGGTACTACCACTTCCCACTCACCCAGAATAGCTTCATCTCCTTAGTTAACAACACCACGTATGCAACACTTGCTATTCGTATCGAGCCTTAACCTGTGTGTACCCTCCTTATGTGATCCCAACATTATCGCTATGTATCAGGGATATCCGCGGCGCCGGACAATATTAATAAACGGACACTCTTAGTGAACAAACCTCTATACCGGTATAAGGGTGTCGAAGAAAGGGCCGCCCAAGCGATCCATTACGCCGATTTTTCTAAATCGAAAAAGGAAGATTGCCATACTCTAAGTGCGCTGATTATTATTAGCCGCACGATTATTTACAGCCGAAGTAGCAACTCAAATACTATTATAAAGAGAGAGATATTCTCCTTTCCTTTTCTCTAAGCACTTAGTTCAGAATTAATTTACTACTTTTCTTTTTTCTCCGACCCTTTGCGAGCTTTATTTCCCTTTCGTAAGCTTGAATCGCGTCACCAACAGACTTGTATAAATCAGTACGATGCTAGGATCGACGTCTTTCTTTGCGATCTTGCTAGCCTTGAGCTATTTCTTTAATACAGCCCAAGGAATGTGGTGGAAGAAGAAGACAAGCAAAGTCATGGGCTATGCAACAGTTTCCGAAGTAAGTTCCACTTGTTGATTTATATAATATAAGCTTTGTATATACTGATTGCGCGAACGATAGGCAGATGCTAGGCGCATTAATCAAGACAACAAGCTCTTTCCAAAGGAACCTACGACCGGCTTCGATGTTCAGTTAGGACACGGCTTCTATATATGTGAGTTGGCATCCTCCGTACATGCGTACATGGATCATCATAGACATACTCTCTCGCGCAAAAGCTAACAGCAATCCTCAGTACAAGGACCTGAAAACTGGCCAAATGCAGAGGAAGGGAATTGGTACTGTGCTATCACAGCGAAAACGAAGGAGATGAGGGATCTCAGCAAGGTTTACATCCCGTCAACCTATTGGTCCGAGGACGAAGAGTTCATCTTGAGTTACGTCAGGGCATTGGTAAACAAGCCCGACGAAGCGCTGCGCATCTCATGGGTCCGGGCTGGCGCGCAGCTGCAAATGCTTATTCCCTCGAAGGTGATAGCAGAAGATACTGCTTTGAAATTGCGGGCTAAATGCTTTGAAACGGAAAATCAGCTGAAGGAATATTCGGATAAGTTCATTGATTGGCAGAAAAAAAGAGGTTGGACTATTCACGGCGAGCTTGGACGACCGAGTTTTTGATTAGTGGGAAGGAAGAATGGCGCAGGCGATGGGGCCCCATTCCTTAAGTAGCGTAATCAGAAGGCATCAGTCTTTTTCATCTAGGGATTTGTTGTTGTTATTGTTCTTCTTGTTATTGCTGTTATTATTGTTATTATTGTGATTGTTGTGATTATTCTGATTGTCATGATTGTTGTGATTACTACGGTTGTTGTTATCGTTATTATATTATTCATCAAAGTCGGGCGGGTATTGAAAACGCAATGCTTAAACCTCAAGACCTTTTATAAGGTACGGCGACGTAGTAAGTAAAGGAAATTGTATATAAGATACTATCTATTTAAGAGTAAAAAACCACGTTAAATAAAACCTTTCTTTTAAATAGCCTCGGGTTTTTAATCTCGAAGTACCGTATCGCATAACTTTTATAACTTTTAAAAGCAATGCAAATTAGTATAGCGCAGCTGCTATCGATTGTGCCTTTCCTGTACGGATAAAATGGATCGCAGAAAAAATATAATGTATTTTCGTCGGAGAAAAACTTGAAGGGCAAGTTATAGCGTAAGTAACGTATATCGGTATCGATTATCGAAATAACTCGAGGCCGAACCGAAATTAGTTAAGTAGCCTTTTCCAAAGCGCAATATCGTAAATCGTCTTAAACCCCTTTTCATCCTTCTTCTTTCGTTCCCTTTTTAATCGTCGGCTCGCTTAGGTGGGCCTCCTTTCAGCCTTTCAGTCTTAGTCGGTATAAGCGACTGCGGATCGGAAGCGACTGCGGATTTTTCGAATGTGTTAGAAATTCTTTTATATATTATAGCAAATACTATTACAACTTAAAAATATTTATATAAATAATTAATTTATCATTATATCTTTTTCCGAAACATCTAAAATCGTATCATTTGATGAAACATCTGACTATCGATTGCTATTTTTATTAGAATCTGACTCGTCTTTTACTTTACGCAACGAATCGTTTGAATCTCTACTATTATTAGAATTAAAGCTATCGCTATCGATATTAATATTAAAAAAAGAAAAAACATCTTGCTTTAAAGAGGGGTTTCTAATAGTGTCGGTTGTAATTATTAAATTATCGTTATCGAGAGAAAGTTCGGGTTGAAAGAGAGTTGGTCGAAGAATACCTTTTTTACGAGGCCGCAAAATTTAACGCTCAAGAGGTTGTTGCATTTATTAAATCTCTTCCGAATCGAGAATTAGAATAAGTATTATATCGTCGTCTTAAATAATTAAGCTTATAGTAAAGCGTTCTCGTATAATACTTTTACGCTCGCGCTTAATTATGCGATTCCTTCACGATATTTAGCATCTTTTTCCTTTTTTTAAATCTTATCGACGCGTTATTATTTTGCAGCAGATTCAAGATTTTCTTTACCTTATTGCTTAATAGCAAGCTTGTTATCGATTAATAATATAATTTTAAATGTTTCGGAAAAAGGTATGCTCGTAAATTAATTATTTATATAAATATTCTTTAGTTAATTATAATAGTAATTGCTATAGTATATAAGAATTTCTAACACATTCGAAAAATCCGCATTCGCTTCCGATCCGCAGTCGCTTATACCGACTAAGATTGAAAGGCTGAAAGGAGGCCCACCTAAGCGAGCCGACGATTATCGCAAATCCTTTCAGTATTCCCAATCGGTATGCCCGTCAAGTATAAATCGTAGTCGGGGGGATGATCGAAGTAAAAAAAGGCTCGTTCGGATCCCTAGCAAAAAAAAACTCCCTGAAAGGCTGCCTTGATCAATTTCGGCTCTCCAGACTCTCTTTACCGCAGGAAAAAGAGCTAAAGGTTCGTAGGGGGCACCTCGTACAGGTAAAGAATCGTAGCCCCCCTTTTCATCTAGGGAAAGGGATTGCAACGCTTCGTCTACTTAGCATGATTTTCGACATGGGGACAGATATGCTAGCCGCACGAGTATTCAATTCTACTACGAAGGATACCGTTTACGGGTTCGGGAAAATGTATCAAGGGGGCTTCTGGGGTTCTGATCGATACGGAAGTACGGACAAAACCATGTGTGTGCTCGGTTAAATACAATCATCTTGCGTAGATGAAATTCAAATCTGGCCCGTCAAGATTTTATTTTATTTTATCGTTACGTTTCGTTACGTTTCTAGCTTTTGTGCCTGTATTTCAATCATATGTATGCCAGTCATATCGATATACATGATGTGTTAGAATCTGGAATAGCGCTGATTAGGTAATCAGCAAGTAATCAGCCCATATTCCAGACTCGACGTCTCCCACCCTCTCTACGCCATTTACCTCCCTTCTAAATTCTATCATGATGCAACGCCTTCTACGCTCCCAGCCCATCCACCACCCTCAACACCATCTACTACCGTAGAGCCTCTACCGTAGAGTCTCTACTGAGGGGCAACAAGCACGCCGCGGTATCTCATCTTGCCATCCGCCAACTTCTTCATCGCCTCCTCGATGCCCTCCACCGTCATGGGGAACTCCTCAATCACAGGTCGGATCTGGTGACGCGCCGCGAACGCGATCATGTCCATGTGCACGTTCCGGGCCGCCACCAAGCTGCCCTGGATGCTCAACTCGCTCGCAATGAGCGGCATGTAGGGGATCGACAGATCACCGTCTGATACCGTCAGCGGGTAGATCTTGCCGCCGGGGGCCATGATGGGGAGGAAGAGCTTCCAGTCGGGCTGGAACGAGGTGCAGATGAGCAGGTGGTCGATCTTGCCGGCGACGTCGAGGGACGAGGCGCCTTTGGTCGCGATGAAGGAGTCGGCGCCGAGCTGGAGGGCCTCGTCGCGCTTGCTGTCGGTGCCGGAGAAGACAGTGACGTGGCAGCCCATCTTCGAGGCGAACTGGATTGCCAGATGACCAAGCCCGCCTAGCCCCGTGATACCCACTCGAGACAGCGAGTTGGCGCCGAAGGAGTGGAGCGCGTTGAAGACGGTTGCGCCACCACAGTTCTGGTGCGTTGTGGTCAGTTTGACATTTGCATACTATGCGAGGAGGGTAAGGACAGACCAGTGGAGCAGCGAACTGTCGGGGGATCGACTCGGGAATCTTGAAGATGTAATCGGCCTTCCAGACGGAGTAGTAGGCAAAGGACCCTTGATCCAAGTCGTTGAAAGCGTACATGGAACGTTCCGGGCAGAGCGTCTCGTGGCCGGTCAAGCATTGCTTGCAATGATTACACGAACCATGCTGGTATCCCCATCCTACGGACTCGCCCTTCTGGTATGTAGTGACCGATGCTCCAACATCCTGATCTGGAGTTAGACGATCGTACGTCGGTGAGGAAAGAGTAGAGGCTAAGATCCGCTAGCCTACCTCGACAACACCTGCGCCCTCGTGCCCAAGTACCATATCGACGCCCTTATAATGCTCTAGAGGGACACGCGGAGAAGTCAGTCATTGCCCGGCTAGGAAGATTTCGAGGAATGGAGAAGGATTGGGAGATGGATCAGACATCCCTCCCTCGTTGCCTACCATCTGTGCCGCAAAGTCCCGAGTGTGTAACTTTGATCAGAACCTCATCTGCTTTGATTTCCTTCTTGGTCTGGGACTGCACAATCTTGCCCTCCTTTGAGCCCTTGAAGACGGTGAACTCGATCACTTTGGTCATGTTTGCAGCCGCTGTTATTGTGTTGTTGCAGTTATTGAAGATGGGAGAACTCTTAGAGCAGGAGCGATGGTTATATACGTCGTGTTGTTGAGAAGTGTGAACCGCTTCGTGTAAATGAAGAAGTCAATATTGAAGGGATAAACGACCCGCCTACCGACCGGTACCTAGGTACCCACCCTACGGCTACGGAAGGTTCAGAGCCCATTTCTTGGATCCGGACTCTGGTCAATTACCCCTCCTCTAGTGGATCAATATGCTGTCATAGACACACTTACTGTACCGGTAGGTACCGGTATCTGTGCGAGTATAGAGCTTATTAATCATAGCCACTCCGCACGGAGTCTTTGACCACACCTTCCGCATTCTCCCTCCGCATTCTTGGTTCGGTGGTCCGGCGGTTTTGACAAGAAATGATGCCGTTTGAGGAGAAGAACTTTCCAAGCTTTTTCCCAAGTTCTGGTTGGCTATTAACCGTGCGCCAATAAGGCAAGCTGTCGGCTGCTCTCCGTCACTCGTTTCATCGCGTGCGCTACACCGACTTTCAAAACACACCGACTTTCAAATTGACTCGGAACATCAAAATCGCTAGGAACGCTTATCAAGTAAAATGTTCATATTCTATTACCAACGCTAAATGTTTGTATAGCTATATATATACAATTAAAGATCTTGTTCATTTTTAAACCTCATTCGAATTAGTAATCAACGTCGCTTAAAATCTTGCTCTTTACTGTAATACATCCCGCTAAAGCTAGACACGCTAAGCAATCTTCTTATACTTACTTCCAACTCAAATACGGTCTCTTGAAAGACCTCCACGGAAACAATACATGTAGAGCAGATCGACAAAGCATTTCGTCCAAGCAACCATCGCGCTCGAGAAGATATTCGAAGAGAAAGTTGCTTCAGCGATGATAATGATGATGACAACAATCGCGTAAATCTCCCGCATCCTCATCCCGAACAGCAAAACAAATCGTCTCTTTCATATAACTCCGCTACAAATATCTACATCGTCTTCTAACCGATCATCAAGTAATCGCCTGGAAGAAAATCAAACCACCGATCGGAATCGCCGTTCCAACTTCCCATATTAAGAAACGGCAAGGTCTCTCTCTCTCTCTCTCTCTCCACGGCGGAAATCAAGTAAGCTAGCCGTAGCTCTCTCTGCAAACAGATTATACAATCTGAAAGAGTGATATGTGCAAAAAAAAAGTCGTTTTTTCCTTCTTTTTTTTTTAATTAAGAAAATCTTCTTTAGCTCTTGCTATTCTCGCATCCTTTTTTTTTAAAAAAAAAATATTCGTTCATATCGATTTTCTTGTTGAAAATATCGTCGCTCACGCTTTTTTCTTTAGTGAGGTTAAGGCTTCGCAAGGCAATGCAGCTTCATTGCGCGCGCTTTTCTTTTTTTTTAAAAAAA